GAATCATGCATCGCGGAAATCATGCATCGCGAGTCAATAATCATGCATGACGAGAAGATTTCATGCCTCGTCAAAATCTATACATCGCGAGAAGAATTTATGCCTCGCTGGAATTCATGCATCGTGGAATCATGCATCGCGGAAATCATGCATCGCGAGTCAATAATCATGCATGACGAGAAGATTTCATGCCTCGTCGAAATTTATACATCGCGAGAAGAATTTATGCCTCGCTGGAATTCATGCATCGCGGAATCATGCATCACGGAAATCATGCATCGCGAGTCAATAATCATGCATGACGAGAAGATTTCATGCCTCGTCAAAATCTATACATCGCGAGAAGAATTTATGCCTCGCTGGAATTCATGCATCGCGGAATCATGCATCGCGGAAATCATGCATCGCGAGTTAATAATCATGCATGACGAGAAGATTTCATGCCTCGTCAAAATTTATACATCGCGAGAAGAATTTATGCCTCGCTGGAATTCATGCATCGCGGAATCATGCATCGCGAGTCAATAATTATGCATGACGAGAAGATTTCATGCCTCGTCAAAATTTATGCACGACGAGAAGAATTCATGCCTCGTCAAAATTTGCACATCGCAAGAAGATTTTATTCTTCGCTGAAAGTTATGCATCGCGAGAAGATTCATATCTCGCAGGAATTTACGTATCGCGGGAAGATATTCATGACCCGCAAGAAGACGTACTTGGATAAAGAAAGAGCAATACTTATCCATTGGCCTCGACTGCATTATGTTATTTCTTATAAAAATAAACATCATGGAGAGCATCGAAGATGACAACAAAAGAAACATCAATATCGCATCAGCATTTATTTATTTATTTCGACATCAAGTATGGAATACATTGAAGATGATATTGCAAAACACGAGGCATAAGCTTTATTTGCTGGACGTCAGACCGATCGAGTCGACGTCGAACATGGAGGAGAACAATGAAGTGTCGACATGGTAAAAGACACTGTCTCCCATCCTAATTGCATTTTTTAAGCTGACGAGTTTTATCTCAGTCTTTGTCGAGAGCATCCAAAAGGATGAATTCTCCAAAAACCACAGGTGCGGACGACATCAAAAAGGATGCAGCACAACGTGGAACTTTTTCTTAGCAGCGAACTGGGACACAGTCCAAAGAGGAGTGTCAAACTCTTAGGACGCGAGCAGAGGAGCGACTTCCACCACAATCGAACCACCCTCTCGAGGCTTACGGGTTTTCTCTAGTTCTGTCAGTTTCTGTCTCGCTTCCGAAAGTTTTGTTTTATCGGAAGCAAGTTTCCAATCTGAGTGTCAATACGCCAAAAGATTTGGAAATTATGTCCGTGTAAGTTCTTAATTATGGGTGTGAAGCGCGCCACATTCATGGCTAAGAGGTTACAAGCCTCTTTTTCATACTCGTTTAATGTGTCACTCGTCCAAAACCGAAGGTTAGCTAGCATAATAGTTTTCCTTTTCCAACGATTGAGTCGAACTACACACAGCCTGATTCCGAAGGTTTAAGGGTATGTAGGCGGATTCAATGTTGAAAACTCGGCTGTATTCCAACATTCGCTCTCGAATTCTATTCTCGAGCATTTCGATGCCTTCATAATTCGGTGTCGAGGTGGCTTTTGATTCTTTGAAATCGTGCGGTAAATCAAGCTTATCGAACTACAAGTGGCCTGAATTCTCATATAGCCTGAGATATGTAGGTGCAAGGGTTCAGCCATAATTCCTAAACCCTGTGTCGAATCCTTCCTTTAAAACGATTGGGGTTGATCAAAATTGGTTGGTCAATTTCATCTTCCTCGAGTTGCTTGCGTCAACCCGAGTAAAATGAGGGACAGTTGTTGACACCCAATTTTGACCCGCATCGGTATAAGTTAGTTAGTTTTATAAATCTTGCGAAAATAAAATATATGTACATATATGTATATACATATATGTATATGTATATATGTATATCTTATTCCCAGGCCCAATTACCCCTCAACCCAACACTAACTTAATTCCTTTCAACTCAACACTGTCAAGCCCACTCCCAATTTCAGACAATTAGTTAATTTCCAAGCCCAAACTCTTAACAGCCCACTTCATTGCTTTTAAACAACAACCCAACCCAACTTAAAATTAACCCCCAGGCCCAAATCCCCTTCAGCTTTTAAAATACCCGCCCACTACATTAATTCGACCCGCCGACCCGACCCATCCCTTCTCCCCTCTTCTCCACCCCTTCCCCCACACGACCCCATTCCCAGGAAGAACAGCACCCCCCACGCGACCCCCTCCCCACGCTCTCTCCTCGCTTTCTCCCTTCCTCTCATCCCTCTCCCCGTGCTCTCTCCCTCAACCCCGCGTCTCCCCCACGCTCGCTCTCTCCTTCCCCTCTCGACAGAAATCCGGAAAAACAGACCGACTCCTGCAAACGCCAACAACCCCACGCTCTTCTCCTTCCATCTTTCTCTTCGCGTGAATCAGACGGAAGCGCAGAGACCCATACGCTGTCGAGTAGGTCTGCGAGGTGTCAATTTCATCCTCTCCAACACGCCTGTGCCATGTGAAGTTTGACCGAAAGTGGGATTTAGTTTCGAATTCAAAAGGAGAAAAGGGGGGGCTAACGCTCCTCCGCTATAAAAACCCCTTTTTTCTTCTTCAGCAGCGGGGGTTGGACATTTTTGTTGGAGAAAATTTTCGAGAGTTGGAGCTTTAGTCGGAAAAAAAAAAGTTGTTGTTCTGTCTGTTCTTGGCTTAGAAAAGACATATCGTAGTCTAGCTTTGACGATAGGTTCTCTAGAAGAGGAATCTTAGAGAGAGCGTAGTTCGGAGGTCTCTCGCTCGCCTCTGGTTTTCTGTTCGAAAAAAAAAAAGAAAAAACGGAGTGAGATCGTTGCTTTGGTTGGAACGCCTGGCCGGGTTCGCGTGGTGGAACAGTCGTCTGCTCGCCATCGTACCAGTCGCTGCTCTCGAAAAGGTAATCTTCCCCTGCCTTCTTTCCGTCTTCTCGTTTCTTCTGTCTCGAAGTTGTTTCTTCGTCGTTTCGTGCTATGGGTTATCTACTGTTATTCGTTTTGGCGAGCCTCTCATGTGCTGGGTCTATTATCAAATGCGTGAACGTTAAGCATATGGTTTGTTTGCCGTAACTGCAGGATGTCGCATGTGTCATATAACATGATGTTGTTCTATTATGTTTTCTCGTCTGAGGCTGCTCACATGTTGATTATGAGGTTGTCATAGCGTAAATCGTATCGCATTGGTCTTAAGTTGGTTCTGTTCTATGATATATATGACTTGTAGATTAAATATAGAATGTTATTTGTTGGGTTTAGCTCGAATTCATGATATATCACACGTCGTAGTTTTGCCCGTCACACTTGCTCGTTTGTGTTGTTAGTTTGTTTATCACGTGGTCATCATGGCATAGATGTTTACGTATCAGTATTTAGGACCGTTTTGGCTGGCATTTGGTTTGTAACGCGAAGTTTATCGCTATTTCGTGCTGTTTCTCTGAAGTTTTCATTGATTAGCATCTGTTGGGAATTCGAGTCCATGTGGTCCAGTTGGAAGGGGGGGGGGAAATGAGCTGTTGGGGGTTGCTTCCTAATTGTCTAAATGTTTGATTATTATTGATATGGAGAAGGCCTTTACTGCCTACCCTAACTTCATCGATACATAGTTGTGTATGCTTAGCGAAATTACATAACCTTTTCTTGAGACTTTAGCATTTGATTGTTATAAGTTACCGGTTGCCTTCTTCTTGTTAGACTTTGACTTAAGTGTTTCAGAATATGCATGCTTTCTGTTGTTTCAAAGCTTGTGAGGAATGTTCGAGGTCATTTGGATTTATCACGCAAATACGTTTATGTCATATGTCAACTAAGTACGGAATGAATAACTTAGTTTCCTACTTTCACTTAGTGCTGTGTATTCTATATTTGCCATTTTTGCTTAGGAAATTTGTCATGTGGTAAGTGGCGTGATTTGAATTATTAAGTTCTTTAGAATTTGTTTCCCTATACTAATCGTCCTTATCTTAAATTAAATCTTGTTGTTGTTATTGTTTGGGATGTTGTCTTGATTTATCTTGTATGTATTGCGGTTTCGATTATGCGATATACTAATCATTGTTTCCATCTTTATGCATGTAACACCGTCTGAGTTTATTATTAAACTCTCGTCTTCTTTATTTCGAGAGAGCCGTAAAGGCTCAAAAGTCTTTCATTAGAGCCAGGCCTTGAAACAGACAAGGAGATTCCGAAGTTGAAAGTATTGAAGAAGAATCCAAAGGCGAATTAGAATATTTTCTTATTATGTTGTATTTTATTTGTAATGGGCATAAGCCCTTATCGTTTTACTTTCTTGTATTTCTTTTATATGTTTAGATTAGGACAGGTAAATGGGTTAAAAACCCAAAAACAGGTGGGTCCAAAACTCGGTCAAGGCGAACAGAACCCGAGTTTGGACCCAAATCTCTCTCTCTCTCTCTCCCTCCCCGTTACTTGTTTTACATGTTTGTGTAGACTATCGATAGTCTAGGTTTAGAAACTCCAAACCCCTCCGACGCCTTTTATTTTATCAAAATTAAAATAAATCTTAAAACAATAAAGTTTCAAATTCGCGAGTTGACTTAGAATTAAAAAGTTTAAAAAAAAAAAGAGTTAACTTTAAACGGATTTTAAAGTAATAATGTTTTATTAAGTTTGATTAAGATTTGAGAAATCTAGCTTTAAAAAAAAAAAAAATTCGCTAGCCTTTAAAAAATAGTCAAATAAGTTAATCGTCGGAAAACCGTATTAACGGAGTATCTTAGGTGCCTTAAACACCTTCCTAAGATACTAATAGGAATCCCGAACCCTTAAAATGTTTCAAAACAATTTTTCTGTTTAAGTTGTTTAGAAACGAAGTTTTCTTGATTTTTCTTAAAAAATTAAGTGGCGACTCCTAAAAGTCGAAAATAAACTCTTTTCGAAAATCAACCCTCTTTTTTTCGGTAAAACAGGATTCACCACGTCAATCTGGTAAAACTCATTGGATTTTGTGCCGAAAAGACCCAAAGACTTCTGATCTATGAACATATGGTAAATGGATCACTAGATAGATGGATTTATCATAAAGATGAAGAAAATGGGCTTAGATGGCGTATAAGGCAAAGGATTATAACAGATATTGCCAAAGGATTAGCTTATCTTCATGACGAATGCAGCCAGAAGATAATTCATTTGGACATCAAACCACAAAATATCCTTCTAGGTAAAAACTTCAATGCTAAGATATCTGACTTTGGTCTGTCGAAACTGATCGATAAAGACGAAAGCAAAGTGGTAACTAGGATGAGAGGAACACCAGGGTATTTGGCTCCTGAATGGTTGAGGTCTGTAATCACTGAGAAAGTTGACGTGTATGCCTTTGGAATTGTGCTCTTGGAGATTTTGTGTGGGCGAAAGAATTTTGATAGGTCCCAAGCTGATGAGAATGTCCATTTGCTAAGTGTTTTCGAAACAAAAGCGGAACAACTACAGCTTATGGATATTGTTGACAAAAACAATGAGGATATGCAGATCCACAAAGAAGCAGTGACAGAAATGATGAGCATTGCTGCGTGGTGTCTACAGGGAGATTTCACCAAGAGACCTTCCATGTCATTAGTGGTTAAGGCATTGGAAGGTTTGGTGTCTGTTGAAACAAACTTGGATTACGATTTCACAAGCCTACCCGAGGTTGAGGATGACAACCGACAGAGGGAAGACACTATTAGTTTAATATTGCCTTCAATTTTATCCGGTCCAAGGTGAAGAACTAGCTTAAGAGGTTGTGAGTTCCACTTTTTTTTTTCTTTTCCATGGTCTATTTCTTCCTTTGTATTTCCATGTGAAGAAACCTTCCTCGTTTTATTCCTATTGGAAATTAGTTAGTTGTTATATTCAATTTAGTTAGTTAGTTTGTATAGTTAGTTACATTGATAAATGTGTAGTAACTAAATTCTGTTTTAGGATATCATCATATCATATATATATTATTATAAGCATGAAGCTCAAAACTTAAAAGTTGAATTATCATTTTGCCCCTCTAATAAATTAAAACTTATATAATTTATATATATAATCTTCTTATTCTCATTTCATAATTTTGACCATTCAAATTTCTAACATAAATGTAAATAAAAATAAAAATGAGTAATTATCAAGAAATTAAAGTAGATTCATGTATCTTTAAAATTAAATTTCATCTCTATCTTTTTTATATTTATTTTAACAATAATTCAATTACCATTTTGCCCCTCTAATAAATTAAAGCTTATATAATTTATATATATAATCTTCTTATTCTCATTTCATAATCTTGACCTTTCAAATTTCTAACATAAATGTAAATAAAAATAAAAATGAGTAATTATCAAGAAATTAAAGTAGATTCATGTATCTTTAAAATTAAATTTCATCTCTATCTTTTTTATATTTATTTTAAAAATAATTCATGTGACTTTTCATGTTTCCATAATTTTGTTCTATAAATTTAACTTTTTCAAGAAGAACTTTTATTTGTCACTCCTACAATTCTTTTATGTAGGAACTCTAAACATGTGAAATAATGTCACAATTTGAGGTGAAAGTTGTGAGATTCCCTTATGCAGTTACGAGAATAGATAAGAATTCAATTATTGAAGCATCGGAGCTTGATGTGTTAGTTTTATATTTATTTGTAGTAAGAATTATAATAAGACTTTTTTGTCTGTCTTCATATAGTTGAATTCTTGTTTTATTAGCAAGTTGCTCTAAATTCATATTTGCATTTTATATGCTCAAATGTTTAGTTTCACTATAGAGACAAACAAAATGAAATGCCTAATTGTCTTGCTCGTGTGTACTTTTTTTTTTCTTTTCTCCGTACTTATAATTTTTACATATACATTAATTTTCATCTTTAAGAATGAATGTGATAAAATAGGATGTTAACTCTTTTCTTTTCTTTTTATGGAAAAAAAAAGGTGAAATATATAATATTAGATTAATGGTGGATAAGTTATATATGACAGAATTAAATTTTATATAAAAATAAGTAGTTATTCATAAATATCCTGATTTTTAAAATATAAATAATAAAACTATTTACATCTTAGTTTTAAATATTTATAGTTAACTAATTAGTTTAAAGTGTTTGTGGATAAAAATTTAATACAATACTTAAAACACATTCATTAAAAAAGTTGAAAGACTATGTTTTCCTTCACTCAAAGTTAATCTTACACTATCTAGCATTATTCTACCAATAAACCGGAACTATCAAGAAAAATTTAATTTAGATAGTTGTTATTTTTCCTTTTAGCTTTGCAAACTTATTTTTTGAATTACAAACAAAGTTTATTTTATTAATTTCTCATATTATTATCTCGATGCATTCACTTAGAGGTCAGAAAATTGGAGTGTCACAATTAGTAGTAAAACAAAGTAAAAAATCTCAATTAGACATATTTTATTATTTAGTAGTATTATTTTTTAAGAAATAATACACTCATGGTTACACGCGCAAAGCGCGTGCCCGAAAACTAGTATTATTATAAGTGGGAAGCTCCTAACCTCAAAGTTGAATTACCATTTTATCCTTCACTTAAATATTTTTTTTTTAAAAAATGTATTAGTATTTTTAATAAACAATTAGATAGTAAACTTTAAAGTTATAAAGATATAATGAAAGATAAATAGTCATTCAAACAAATGAAGTTCAAACATTTCAAAACATCTCTTATTTAATTTTAAGTTAAAGAATTTGAAGAGTTCCATTGATAAAATTATTTACATGATTTTTTCAACAAAAATATTATTTTGATGTCTTCTCATGACAATAGCATGTGAAGTGATTTATCTCACAAAATTCTTCTTCAAATTTTTCATGTTTCTTTTGATCAATAAATTTTAGACATATATGTAAATAGATAGAACTAATATTACATGTTTTGTTTCATTTGTCTCATCGAAAATTTATGTTTTTAACCAACAGGTGATAAATAATTCTAGAGAGTTTTTCATTTGGACAAAAAGTCTGCTCAACATTCATGAGGTAAAACAAACCTACTTGTGTGAGAAAGAATATGTATGTTGTTTCGTTAATTTATTGACGATAAATTTTTGGAGAATATGGTATCTGAATTAGAATTTAATCATTTCAGTGTATTCGATGCATTCTTCAAGAAGGTTAAAGACATCATGGACATTTATTTGTTGTTTGGTAAGTATTATTTTTCATTTCAATGTTGCATATTTTACTTAGTTCATTGTTTGTTACATTCAATTTTTCGGTTGAAGGAAGGTAAATTGACTACTTTTTCTTGAATAATGGCAATGAAAAAGAAAATAAAATTTTTCATTTACATGTCTGATGTACAAATCTTCTTTTAAAGATTATGTTTGTTATAACAAGTTGATTATCATGTAGTGAACACTCTAGGTTATTGGATAAGAGGATTGAATAATTCATGTAATTAGTTTTTTCTCATAATTAAATCTACAAATATTAGCATGCATTATATTTAATGTGCTTTTTTAGAATTTGTACATGATTTACTACTTGTATGAAAATAAAATCATGGTGTGATTTCATATTTGTAAATAAATACCCCTAATAACGAAAAACGAGGAAGCGTCGAAGAAGAAAAACGGTATTGCTAAATAATTTTATATTCTGCAACTTTATGTTTTTATTGATTAAATTTAGAACTTATTATTTCATTTATTCTATCTAGAAAAAAATATTTGGATAAAAAATCTCATAGATTCTTTATACTCATTTTAAGGAGTATATACTCCTTTTAATTTTTAAACATAAAATAGTATTATTATTAATCTTTATACTTTTTTTGAAAAATGTGTATTGAAGATCTTAACTTTAAAATAGGATTATGATTCTACCCTTTTACTAATTTAAAAATTATTAAAGAAATAATTAATAAAACATTACTTAAATAATACTAATATTAATCCATTATGTTTCTAGGTAGGATTAATTAGAGAAATGTTCAATTTGTTTTTTATTCTAAAATAGAGTTCGGTAGATGAAGTGTTTCGTAACAACAAAAGACAGTAAATTATATTCGAAATATCCTTTAACATTAAAGAACAAAAATGTCCTTGAATTACCATACATCTTAATATGGCACATATTTTTAGATTTTAGTAAGACACTTTACACATTCTCAACTTTAAACAATCTAATTCTCATAGACGTTATGTATATCATCAATTTTTAAATGACTTTTACAATTCCAAACTTGTAACTATAAATACCAAAAAATTATCTTCAAAATCACTTTATATTAATGCATACACTTAGTTATTCCGATGTATAATTGTTGATGAATGATTATTGGTGGATGTAATTACACTGACACATTGTTCAACACAATTACTTTTTATTGATGCATATGCTTTGTTATTCTAATGTATAATTATTGATGGATAATTGTTGATGAATGTATTGTTCATCACATATGCAATAAAAAAGAGATAGACCTATTTATGCTTTTGTTAGTTATTGAGGAAGTTTCTCTATTCTTATAAATTAGAACTATTTCTCTCTTTAATTCTTGTTATTTAAAAGTTTTAGAATTCATTAGCTATTTTATTGTTTTTAGTCTACTCTATTTCATTTTATTTTCGAATTCATTAGCTAATTTGGTGTTACACTCTTTCTCTTTTGATTACTTAGTTTTATGAATAACTATTTATACATTTTGTAACTGTATTTAAATAATTTTACGAATATTTATACTAAGTAGCCTGCAATACAAATATATTTTCTATTATGAAATTCAATTTTTTAAGTATGTATATATTTTGTAGTAATTACAAGGGACAAAAACATGCAACGCACGTTTTCAAAATCTAGTATTACTAAAAGCATGAACAAAAAAGTTGAAAGTTGAATTACGATTTTACCCTTTCTATAAATTCAATTATTATAAAATATTTAAATATTTGATTGTATAAATTTAATTAAATGTTAATGACTTTTAGACTTTCTAAGATTAATTCCTAATTAAATATCTAATTTATTAATATTTATCATCTATAATCTATATATATATAATAGTTATAATTTTTTTTTAATCATATATTACTAAAAGCATGAACAAAAAAGTTGAAAGTTGAATTACGATTTTACCCTTTCTATAAATTCAATTATTATAAAATATTTAAATATTTGATTGTATAAATTTAATTAAATGTTAATGACTTTTAGACTTCCTAAGATTAATTCCTAATTAAATATCTAATTTATTAATATTTATCATCTATAATCTATATATATATATATATATATAATAGTTATAATTTTTTTAAAAATCTTTTCCTAAATTTCTTTTCTTTCCCTCTTCTTATAACTTTTTCCTTAACCCCCCTCTCATGAATAATAAAATTGATGTGAATAAAGTATTATCCTTTATGATAAATAACGAAATTTAATAATTTAAAGGGTGCAAATCTACAAAATGGAGACGCACATTGATAATGTCCTCTTGATTATTATTAAAGAATGACTCTAGCTTCACAAATTTAAATTCATTAATGCTTAATTACATGATAAGAACTTTAGTTGTTCTTTTTACATGGTTTGCTAACTTTAATTTTTTCCCCCATATTCTTCATTTATTTATCATTATTTTCTAATTACTTATTTAACTTTTATACTCTTAATATTCATAACTCTCATCTATTCATATTCATAACCTCCAAACATTTAAACTAAAACTTTAAGATATCTTTTGATATTCCTTCTATTCTATTTATATCAATTCAACTTCTTTATCTCATGAAACCCCTATCAAAATTATTAGGCTATTATTTTTATTCTGTAGTAAAAACTGATGATGAAGACTCTTGAATTTTGATAGGATATGAAAGGAGTCGATAAAAACTAAGAGAGTTATGTACTAATTTTGTACTTATATTATCATCTATATATACATCAATCTTAGGGCCCATTTGGATGGGGTTAATAAAAGCAGCTTTAAAAAAGTACTTTTGAAAGTGCTGAAACTTATTTTTAAAATAAGCAGTTATGCGTTTGGATAAAAGTGCTGAAGTTGCTATGCCAAACGTGAAAAGGGAAAAATGGAAGAAAGAGATGTTAGGGTTATGTGCGTTATTTGGAGATTGTATTAAAATATTAAGGGCAAAAAGATAAAAATGTGGTCAACTTAAAACAACTTATAAGCTAAAAAAAAAAAGCACCCCTACCACAACTTTTAACTTTTGGCTTAAAATAAGTTTTTTTAAACTTAAAACAAGTTATTTTGAGTATTGCCAAACAGCTAAATAAGTCAAAAACCAGCTTTTAAGTCAGTTTGACCAGCTTTTAAGCTGAGCCAAACAGACTCTAAGAATAATGTCTATATTGTATTTTTTCTTAAATATTTAGTTTCTTTTTGTCGTTTTTTTCACTCTTTTAGACTTCTTAATTTAGTTTTCTATGAATGTTTTATTGCCGTAAGTCTTTGAATTTTGTAAATGATACATTTTATTATTCATTACAATTTACATATATATTTTCATGAGATTTTAGTCATTCTAACGTATCTATAAAAATTCATATGAAACACACGTGTCAGAAACTAGTATATTATTATAAGTGGGAAGGTTTTGAGTTTAAAATTGGATTACTAAAATGCCCTTCATCATTATCCATCTGTCTGTTGTACATACAGTTTCCAATTTCTTCCCTCAGCTTTGAATTTCTTTTCTAATTTGCATCGTTGCATATCAATACATCTTCATATGCAGTACATTTTTATATTTCTAAGAGTAACGTGTTCACTTGATCTCTGTTAACATCCTAAACAGACTGAAAGGTAGATGAATGAGAGCTCGAAAAAAGAAAATGGATCATGATACTCAATAAGTTAATTAGACTGCAATCAATCTAACGTTCTCTAATAGACAATGGGTTGCACTTTTCTACATTATGCTTCTGAAATAGTTTCGATATAATAAGGAATTATGAAAAACACTTGGTGGCTTTTTGCAGCAAATAATAAGTGATAACTCAAAGGTATGGGCATATGGTTTTGACTCATTAGCGATTCAATCTTGATGATAAATATTAGTAAGAATCACAAATCAAGTTGTAAAAATTGGAATGATACAATTTATAGCAGAATGAAAGCATGAAATGGAGGAGCAATTATGCAGTCACACTGTTGGAACTTAACCAGCAACTTACCTAGGTCCTGACAAGTGTGATGGAAGTGGTAAACTGATACCAACCACAGCATCCCTTTCTTGATTAGTTACGGCAACTCTTCTCGTCATTGTTGGAAATGTGAAGCTGTAATCCAAATCGGTTTCAGCGACGACTAAACCCTGCAACACCTTAACTACCAAGGACATGGAAGGCCGCCTCTTAGTATAATCACTTTGTAAACACCAGGCTGCAATCTTCATCATTTCCACAGCCTCTTTTCTATGTATCTGCATGTCTTCACTCTTCTTGTCCACCATTTCCAAGAGTTGTCCCTCCTCTTCCTTTCTCATGAAAAAACTAAGCAAATGCATATCATCCTCATCTTGACGACGATCCAAATTCTTCCGGCCGCATATGATTTCCAAGATCACAACCCCAAAGCTATAAACATCCACTTGCTCAGCAATGACCTCATGTAACCATTCAGGTTCTAAATATCCTGGTGTTCCTCTCATTGTTGTAACTATCTTACTTTCATCTCTCCCCACAATCTTTGATAAACCAAAATTCTGATACTTTTGCATTGAGATTATGATCAAGAAGAATGTTCTGAGATTTAATATCCAAATGAATAATTTTGTTGTTGCAATCTTCATGTAGGTAAGCTAGGCCCTTAGCGACATTTTAATATGATTTTTTTCCTGACATCCCATCCGAGGGATTTTTCCCATGTTCCGAGAAAAATCCACCTATCTAAAGAGCCATTGACCATGTATTCATAAACCAAAAGCCTGTGTGATTTCTCAGGACAAAATCCAACAAGTTTTACCAGATTAACATGCTGAATGCTACCGATTGTTGCTACCTCAGCTAAGAATGATTTCTTCGCATTGCCAAATCCTTGCAGACGCTTCACCGCTATTTTGGTGCCATCACTTAGTGTTCCTTCAAATACAGCACCAAATCCCCCTTGCCCAAGTTTCTCACTGAAATTTTCTGTCATCACAGTGAGTTCCTCGTAGGAAAAATCTAGTAGGCATTCCTGGTATTTGATCAAGGAACTCCTCCTCATCTTCCTCGAGCCCTTTTCTCCTTCTGAAAATATAGGCAAAGCAAGTTAAAACCATGAGAATCAAACCAAATGAAGCTTCGATGGTGGATCCTACAATCGCTGGGACACGCTTTGGTTTCTTCTCTGAAGAGATAAGTGATGGAGAGGCATGTAAGTTAGAAGAGCTCTGGACCTTGATGAAAAGAGTGGTCTTATTGGGTGATCCATAATCGTATGTGAGCGAAAACACATCATTTAACAATGTGCAGTGACCCATTATGTTATTAGGACTACTAAATCGAAATTGAGCTGCTTTGCAAGCACAATTGCTTAAGCAAGATGTTTTGCAGTTCTCCAGATCTGTTTTGTTGGTACCATATTGCAAATAGAGTGGAATATAAGCTATGTACTTAAGCTCCATCAAAATATGATATTGGGAATGATCACAAGAGATAGGTGTGATAAGCACACACCCCTGGTTCGGCTGCCAGTAATTTATTTGCTGGAGAAAGCTAGTCTAATCAACCGCGGTTTGAGGACAAGTACACTGCCCATTTGCAAAAATAGAGTAATTTCCACAGATGGTTGGATACTGGCACTCACCAATGTAGTATGTAACTAGATCAGCCTCCTCTGACCAAGATCTCCCCAGCGATACACCCTTAAATGCCCGTCAACCATGAATCGAGCATTTGAAAATTCGAAACCTAAGGTTAACATCTGTCTGGAACCATAGCCTTTCAAAAAAGAGCTTAGTCCAGGAAACTGGAAAGGGTTTTTCACACCAAGTCTCGAGACAGATTTGATGTGGATTTGACTCAATGTAAGCAGAAAGGCCAGAACTTCTAAAATCAAGTGTGAACATACCTTCATTCCAGTCTGTTGCTGATATGCTGGATATCAGCTTTTTTCCAGGGACCATTATTTGTCCCGGGACCGAAGTGTCTGTAGGATGATTAAAAGACTGACAAATGATGTCGTTACTTTTGTCAAAGAGGACAACATTTCCCATTACTGTCAAGTTGAATCCCCCCACAGCCTTTCCGCTTGTGTTTGTACTCCAAATCAAAGCTCCATCTGAGTCCATCAAGAATAAGCCTCCATCTTGCCTAAGTTGCAAGGTTGCATTGGTTCTAACCGGATTGTTCCGATTTGCTGACCATACTAATCTCGGGTAGTATAGATAAGAATCATAAATATTTGGTAATATAAGGACGCCAAAAACGCAAGCAGTACCATTGTAATCACATAAGAAACCACAGACAAACACAGTCTCGTTCCCTTCTCTCGAGAGGACATATATTGATAATCCTATATCAAGTTAAATATATGTCCAACCATAAATTAATTCTGAATATTATATATATATATATATATATATAATTCTCTTTGCCGGCCTTTATAATTTGTTTTTCTTCTTTTTACTTGCCAGCCTGTTATATTATTAGAATTTCTGAACTATTGGTCCATTTTTCTAGAAATGATACAATCAGTAGCAGATTCAGGATTTTAAAATGTGGCAACGAGGATTCGAACTTGGTTAGCTTGGAAAATTGGACCATTTCAAAAGATAATGCCTACAAATAAAACAAAATTCCGGTTTTAGTGCTCACTTCCCCTTTTTGTCCTAAATAGCTATACCTATTAAAACTTTATATTATATTTAATAAAATAATTTATAATTATAAATATATTACTTATTTTTAAATTATGCATTTTAATTTATTTTTTCAATTTCATCTCTGATCAAACGGTACTACCTAAATTTGAACATAAAAAGTACATGTGTAATGGAATGAGAATATTAATCCCAAGTGCAAGAATTATACTTCATTTGTTTCATTTATGTGTTTTGATAGTCCACAAGATCCAAGAATTTTTCTTTAATATTACACTTTTTTTTTGTTTAAGGTAACAAGCTAATTAAGAATTTTTTCTTGTTTTTCTTAATTTGTGTTTAGTCAAATTAAAATCTTTTTATTCATTTAGCTATTAGTAATAGTTAATAGCATTCACATGGTGAATTCTTCAACATTGACGATGAGACAAATCTAGTTAAGAATTTTTTTTAACATCGATCGTTCAACTTACACAAATTACATATGTACTTATTGATGATGTAGACTTGCTATCGAACAAAAGTAAAGACCAAAGATGCAAAATGCTTCAACTTAATAATGCTAGCTTACAATTTATGCAATATAAGAGGAGCACCATATTGGGGTTGAATAGTTATTACAGACTGCGGAGCGTGTGTATAAGAAGGAGATAGTTCAAAGGAGAAGTGTTGTAGAATCATAGCCAAAGCCATCTTCGCTTCTATCATCGTGAAGTTTAGCCCAATGCATATCCTAGGTCCCCCGCCAAATGGGAAAAACGTCATTTGACCCTTTGTTGCCTTTGAAACGCCTTCACTAAATCTCTCTGGCTTGAACTCTGTTGCATCTTCGCCCCATATTTCCTTGTCGTGATGCAATAAAATTATTGGCAATACGAGCATCACTCCAGCTGGTAAACTTAGTTCCCCTAGCTTGGTATTGGTTGTAGTCTTTCGATTAAGTGAATCAGCTGGTGGATATAGCCTTAACGACTCGTTCAAAATCATTGTCACCTATAATAAAAAGAGTTGATCAATATTAATTCAACATAGAACAATAAACTATGTGTGTGTCAAAGAAGGTAATAGACTTACAATTTTTAGGCGGTTTAATCCATCAAATTCTAGTTTGCTATCACCGAAGACTTGCAAAACCTCTTCTCTAGCGCGAGTTTGCCAATCTAGATGTCTACTCAACAAAATCATAGTCCATACAAGCAATACAGAGGTGGTTTCTTGTCCAGCAAAATAGAACAATTTACACTCCTCGATGATCTCTCGCGTACTCATACCAAAATCCTTGTTGCCATGTTGTTCAATTTGTTTAAAGTTGGATTCCAACAACATCCCTAATAAGTCATCAGTATTGGCCTCCCCTGCTTTCAATGCCTTCACTCTTTTATCAATTATTCCTCTAATCATTGCTTGAACGTTTTTATCGATCTCCTTCATCCTTCGATTTTTCTTAGTTGGCAAAAACCTACATTAGTTTAACACACAACAACGCGTATATCATCATCAATACTCACTATTTTCCAAGGTCGAAAAGATTGCAAAAATCAGTCATTTACAATCACTATGTGAAGGAATCCTCAAAAAGTTAACGTGTTATGACCTTATAGATATTATATGTGCTAATGTACATAACTTAAACTCGGGGGAAAACAAGGTTTAATTTTAATACCTCGATCCTAGAATATACAAGGTACGAGTAGCTTCAATGAAATGCTGAGCTTGTTCTTTTTGAAGCTCAAATATCATTCGACCTTCTTCATAGTTGCTTCCAAAGGCTGTTCGAGAAATCACATCACTAGACAATTTTTGAAGGTAAGGCCATATATCGATTTCACAAGATGTTCCTTTCGTTGAGATTGACTCCTCCCATTGGCTCACCATTTCAGTGCAGCTCAAATGAATTGCTGGAACCATATTCTACACATTTGTAAACCACACATTAGTGCAAGTCATAGAAAGGAACAAAAAATGAAAAACAAAAACAGAATGAAAGCAGAGTTGATTATATCATATCATGAATTTGTGATAATCAATACAAGTGGATCACGAAACAAACTTCTTTTATTGAATTATGTGCGACTATCTTATTTAAAAGCATAAACGGTTAAAAACTGAAACATATCTTCAACATTCATATGTAAGCCATACATATAGACGACAGTGGAGGAGCCAGGATTTTCTCAAAGGGGATACAAAACAACATACTTATTGTATAAGTGTGTGTAGGGGCGGATCTATGGGTGCCCGTTGATCTCGAAAAAAACTTTATATGTGTGTATACATGTTTAAGAAAACGATTTTTTTTCTTTGTCACTCACTAAATAAAATGATTAACAGTTCAATTGGCAAAGTAGTTAATCTGCAAGATTGGCAGCACAAGTTTGAACCTTTGTTGGCGCATCAATTTTTGGAAGCTTTTTCTTTCTTTTTTTTCCTTTTGTTTTGTCTTTTTTTTTTATTGATGTGTGATCCATTCGTTCTTATTTATTTACAAGTATTCTTTGTTAATTTAAATTCTTATTCATCATAATTATTTAATAGGGAAAAGGGTCTGATATACCCCTTAACTTTGTCATTTGGAGCTGATATACCCCTAGTTATAAAAGTGGCTCATTATGCCCTTGCCGTTATACAAACGGCTCACATATACCCCTGCCGTTACAAAATGGCTCACATATACCCTTCATTTAACGGAAGTTAGAAACTTAGTTTTAAATTTGTATTTGTTACTTCTAATTTTTTTTAAAAAAAATTATTTAGGGGTATATATGATTCTTCTATCAAAGTTCAGGTATATTTTAATTTTTTCATACATAAATTATTTTTTGACTTCTTTTATTATAATTATTTGAGTTTCTTATTCTTATTTTGTTTTTTTTTCTTTCATTCCTTAGTTTAAAGAAAAAAAATTAAACTATTTTTTTTGTGTGTATTGTAATTTAATTTCGTATTCGAAGAAAAAATTTGGTCATCTACAATAAGTTTTACAAGAATATTAGTGAAACATAAATAAATTTGATTATCAAAATAGTAATTATAAATTAGTCATTAAAACAAAAAAAAAAGTCAAAAAAAATTTGTTCGACGAGGATTAAATTTATTCATATGGGATTATATTTTTTAGAAAAAATAACAAAAATTTAGATTAAAATTATTTTTTTTCATTTCCGTTAGAGGAAAAGGGTATATGTGAGTCATTTGTTTATATGTAGGGGTATATATGAGTCACTTTTATAACGAGGGTATATCAGCTCTAAATGACAAAGTTGAGGGGTATATCAGACCCTTTTCCCTTTATGTTTTTTTACTTTCTCTTTCACTAATTATTAATCTCTTGATATGAGTGTCGTATGTTTATACTTTATCAATTAAATTAGGAACGTGACATAAATATTATTAAGAATGTATTTAAATAGTAATTTTAATAATGATGAATATTTTAATTAGAGTTCTTTTAATTTGAAGGATCTTTCGATCTTCACCAACATTCTTGCTAAGTAAGATGACTAGATTGAAACTAAAATTTGTATTTTCTTTTTTATATTTTGCAACAACACATAAAGCTAATGAAATATGAATATATTGAAATAACAATATTAGATAGTTTATACAAGCTCAAATTTTAGTGTGAAAAAACTCTTTTTTCCTCAAAGTTTCAGCGAATAAGGTCACTAATTCCTAAAAAGAAATAAAAATTGAACTGTTACTTAGCTCTATCTCATAATATCTAAAAGGGAAAATGGTATGATATACCCCTCAACTTTGTCATTTGGAGCTGATATACCCCTCGTTATGAAAGTGGTTCATATATGACCTTACCGTTATACAAAAGATTCACATATACCCCTGCCGTTACAAAATGGCTCACATATACCCTTCATTTAACGGAATTAAAAAAAATAGTTTTAAGTGTATATTTATTACTTTTAATTTTTTTTAAAAATTACATAGGGGTATATATGATTCTTTTATCAAAATTCAATGTATATTTTAATTTTTTTTACTACATAAATTATTTTTTGACTTTTTTTATTAGAATTATTTGAGTTTCTTATTCTTATTTTATTTTTTCTTTCATTCCTTTGTTTAAAGAAAAAAAATTAAACTATTTTTTGTCTATATTGTAATTTGATTTTTGTATTTAAAGAAAAAAATTTGGCCATCTACAAAAAGTTTTACAAGAATATTAGTGAAACATAAATAAATTTGATTATCAAAATAATAATTCTAAATTAGTCATTGAAACAAAAAAAAGTCAAAAAAAATATGTTTGACGAGGATTAAAGTTACTTATATAGGATTATATATTGTAGAAAAAAATAATAAAAAGTTAGATTAAAATTATCTTTTTTTTCATTTCCGTTAGAGGAAAAGGGTATATGTGAGCCATTTGTTTATATGTAGGGGTATATATGAGCCACTTTTATAACAAGGGGTATATCAGCTCCAAATGACAAAGTTGAGGGGTATATCAGACCCTTTTCGCATATCTAAAAGAAAATATTACTAACATGCATGTTTTGATCGATTTGTTTATAAAGACCGAAAAAAGATAAATAACTCGATTGTAACTCAAAATTAAAGCAACCGACCCGCTTATCTTACTTGAACGATGTAACACCTAGGACCTTCAAATCCTAGATCCGCCTCTGAGTGTGTGAAGCCCCCTTGGTCGAAAGTTTAAGAAAGAAAAACAGACAGACTTGAAATTTTAGGTATAAAACAAATGTTAAACTTGCACGACTATAACTCATTTCACTAATGGCAAAAGGAATATTTCAAAGTTATAATACTTTCTAACCATAGAAAGATGATATTCTTAATCGAACAGACTATCAAGAAAAGTGTATCACATATGTTACAACGAAGGAAATATTAATAAAAATATATCTTGAGAAATACCTTAATCTTCTCCATATGGAAAGCAGGATTGAGGATTTTTCTATGCATTGCCCATTTATCCTCTTCATAGCTTGCAAGTCCTTGTGCTAGCAACTTGGTGAGGGGAGTTGGTTTAGGCTTTTGGTAGAGAACATATTTGTTAAACACATCTCTTATTACCTCAGCATCATTTACTAATACCATAGGCTTTGGCCCAATCCATATAAAACAATTTTTACCTGTAAAATTGTATAATGGATTTATATCAATATGTCATGTTAGCTACGGGTTATTTAGCGATAAACTAATAACAAATTTCTTAGGTAAACTTTTAATGTAATTGTCCCTTCTTAATTAGAGTTCTTGAATTCGAGCCCTGGGAATATGAAGTCTCATGTTCAGTCAGAATCTGAATTAATCAAACTTCAAAACAGGTACAAAGAACATCATTAGATGAGAAACAAAAACAAAGCTTACCATGTTTCTTGATTGTATCAACAAAATAAGGAACAATTCTAGGAGTTATGTCATCATCAAAGACATTCAATGGCTTGGACTTAACATCTTCAAAGCTTTTGGCTAACTCTTTGAGATCTCCAAAAATTAATTTGTAAGAGTTCCCTTTGAGACCTTGTTTTCTTAGGCATTTTTCTAGTTTTCTTGGCCTAAACCATGCCCAATCTAACAACTTCCATGCATATATTACTGAAGTTATTGTTAATAAAAAAGAAACTAAGTAGTAAGCAACAATCTCCATTACTATTTTTATATATTTGATATTTCCCTTAAGGAGTTGAATGACTTATTTATACTGTTGAAGTTAAGAAGGGACCTCATATTCAGAGGCGGAGGTAGAAGTTTAGATACAAATTCATCTGACCTCAATAGTTTTTTAAATTACATATTTATTTTATAAATACTATTAAATGTATGTATATATATTAAATTTAAAATTTCATTATTAATATATTTAAAATAATTGTTTTAAAATTTAAACTCATAAAATTTAAATTCTGATTTTCGCGATACATAATGCGTGGTCAAATTTTATTCTTTAGTTAATAAGTTAGAAAATGACAAAGAGAGCTTTGAGTGCGGTTTGAACTATTGATTTACGTAATTTGAAATAAAAAATTTGCTCTTGTTTTTCCACCACAAATAATAGTGATATCTATTGTGACAAAGACACCTTCTAGAAGGGTGTTGTATTGTGGACCTTACTTTGAACAAAATGTTTTTATTACATTCCTACTATCTGTATTTCAATTTTAGCGTCTCTTAGCGTCAATTATCATATTATTTGTTGTTATTACGATTTTTTTTACATTTATTCTCAATATGAATTTGTTATCTTTTTTTCGTTCAACAATAATTTTTCACTATATTATCTTGGGATGTCTAATAATATCTATCCACTTTATGAAATCAATGAATAATTTTACGCTTAGTTTCTAATTTAACCTTATCATTAATTATAATTATCTTTTCTATTACATTTTATTGATTATATTCAAAGGGTAATATAATAAAGTAAAATTATTTTTCTATATATTTATAATTTCTTAAGAAGTGTGTAAAGTCAATAGCAGACAAGCATTATTGACAAAGAAAGTATTATATTTACTTTACATACGTTGATATTTGATACAATTTACTTGAGCTGAGAATTTATTGCAGCGCGTATAATATATATAACTTACTATAATAAGTGAAAAAAATATACATTATACAAATATGTGTTGTGCTCTTTTTGTTACAATAAATGTAAAATATCAATTTGGACAAGAATTATAAGTTTAGAAGATTCACTACCTCATAATTCACATTCAAACAAATTTTCACATAGAGTGGTGTATATAAAAGATTTGGATGGACCACTCTTACATGATATAGTTTTGTTCCGTGTTGGTTTCAAAATCCCTGATTAACTTAGATAAAATAATATGATAATAATTCGGTTCATAGTTAAATATTTATAAATATTTGAACAAAAGATTAGTATTGGATTTTTGTAAAGATGATGAATATGTCTCGCTATTAGAGGTGTCAATCGGATGGTTTTAATTAAATTTTACGGATTAAAGTTATGTTGTAATATATAGAGGTTTTAAAAAGTCATATCTCCAATTATATAAATTTAATTAATCCCTCTCGAAGTAGACTGAGAAAAATTTATAGGTATATACAAGGATTTTGTTGTATCCGAAAGGAAATTGCTTGTATTTTTTCCAATATCTATATAGGCAATATTTCCTTTTTAGAATTTCTTTAGTGTCTGATAAATTGTTGTTTTTCTTTATTATAACAATTTATAAAATATCAAATAAAAAATATGGACAAAAATTTTCATTAACCAATTAGAGTAACATAGTAGCTCATTTTTTTTATGGACTAAAATGACTTAGCAAATACCCAATCATTGATCAATTTATTGACAAATACCCACACAAGAAGTCAAGTGATGCAAGTAACCAATAACACAACCTAATTATTACCAGAAAAATAAAACTAATTGCATAAATGCATCTGTTAATTATAACATAATTATAATACAATTTCATGTGTTATGTTTAATTAATCAAACCTTAGTTAACAATAAAACCAAAAAAAAAAGCTTTTTTAGATGGACATGTGAATAAACTTTATATCTTACAAATTAAATATATGTGTATGTAAGAAATATAGTTCTTTTTATTTTTTACTAGGTATTTTAAAAAGGGAAAGTGTATGATATTCTCCTCAATTTTGTTATTTGAAATCGAGATGTCGCTCGTTAGGTAAGTGGCTCATGTATACCTCAGTACTATATAATGACCTATATATATCCTTTTCCTTTAATGAAAGTGAAAATTTTAATTTTAATTTTAATTTTTTAATCATATGTATAATCCATATAGGGTGTACTTGATCCTCCTCAATTGTTTTAACGACCAACTTATTATTTTTGTGGTCAAATTTATTTATGTTTCACTATTTTCTTGAAAAATTATTATAGATGTCTCAATTTTTTTTTTACAAATGCAAAAACTAAATTACAAAATAGCCAATTTTTTATCATAATATAGCCACAAAAAAATTAATTTAAATTTTTTTATTTACACTAAAGAATGAAAAAAGAAAATAAAATAAGAATAAGAAACTCAAATAATGATAATCAAAGAAGTCAAAAAATATTTTATGTAAGGAAAAAAAATATATATACCCTGAACATCCCTACGTCATTTTATTTTTTATTTTGTAATCAAGAGTCAAAAATATAAATTTAAAACTAGGTTTTACTTCCGTTAGATATATATGAGTTTTTTTTTATAACGATAGGAGTATATATCAGTCATTTATATAACAGTTAAGGGGTACTATATCAAGCATTTTCCCTTTTAAAATATATCACGCAATCGTTTATTTCTTTCAACTTACGCAAACGTACCCATCTTATAAGTCAAATAAACTAAATTACTATTACTATTATATAGAAGAGTGGTAAAGAGGACGACCAAGGATATAGTGGTCATTTTGCATTAATAACAAATGGACAAATTTCATTTCCAAAAGCAATAAGGGCAAATATGTAATTTACATTAAAAAGGGACAAATTTCAATTTCAATAGCAAATTTTTGCAGATCCATTTTTTTGTAGAACATCAGTCTTTCTTCAAACAAAAAAATTAAATTCATCCTTAGCACAAGACTTACTCAAACATGATTCTAAAGCATAATTTCTTCCAGCTCTCTTCTTTCAACAACCATTAATCGATTTGCAATTCAAAATTTCAGGTATGTTTTCTTTATTTGGTAAAACATGGTCAAAGAAAGGATTAGACGAAATAATAAATAATAATATAAATACAATTTAGAAATTTTATATCATAAACTTTGAAAGCAAGTAGAGAATTGACAGAAAATTGAGATTAAAACATGCATAAATTTTATGATCAGTAAACTTTTGTAGGGAGAGTTTTTCTCAAAAATATATGATGTTGGTGACGAATTGACAAATGCACTGGAGGAATGTAAGTTCCAAATTCTACTTTTATGAACTATAATATTGATTTCTAACAGCCCTGCGACTATTTCAAGTGCATGTGTTCTTCAATCTCTAACTTGGTTTCATTCAAATGTTATTAGAGTAAGTCCACAAAACATTTTTCTCTTCATTTCTATAAAGCGAATTTCATTTTTTCAGCTTTTTCTCTTTGGAAATTATTTCCCTTTTCTTTACAAATTTTCACAAACTACTTCGTTGGATGAATAGGGAAGTTCTCGATCTATGTATCACGTCAAAATTAATTGAACTTCAAAATCTCTAACCAAAAAAATTAATAATATATAATTATAATTATTATAATAAATAAAAAAATATGAAACATAGAGATGTATTTGTACGAGAAGTGTTTATAATTTTTTTTCTTTCTAGGTTAATAATTAAATTTAAAATAAAAAATTTTAATTTGTGATATGTTTATTCATTTTGTCTGAAATCTCAAAAATCTCTAACAAAAAAAAATATGAATTATAATTATTATAATAAATAAAAAAAATATGAAACATAGAGATGTATATGTACAAGAGGTGGAGTGGAGTAGGCTCCTAGCTTTTAGCAGTGTAGACTGTTGTTCTTCATTTTTTTGCCTTTTAGCAAAGACTTTTCCCCCTTTGACCTGAATATCAAAAATCTCTAACAAAAAAAATTAATAATTTATAATAATAATTATTATAATAAATAAAAAAATATGAAACATAGAGATGTATTTATACCAGAAGTGTTTATAATTTATTTTTCTTTCTAGATTAATATTTAAATTTTTTAAAAAAAAATATAGGGGAAGTGGTTATAATACGTGTCTTAATGAATAATAATTTATAATTATAATTATTATAATAAATAAAAAAATATGAAACATAGAGATGTATATGTACAAGAAGTGTTTATAATTTATTTTTCTTTCTAGATTAATATTTAAATTATATAAAAAAAAAAGATAGGGAAAGTGGTTATAATACGTGTCTTAAAGAAAATATATATTGCTTTACACAATAACAAGTGGAGTGGAGTAGGCTCCTGCTATTTAGGCTTTTAGCAGTGTAGGCTACTGTTTTTCATTTTTTTGCCTTTTAGCAAAGATTTTTCCCCTTTTGACTAATATATTACAGTGCATTCTTTATCACATTGATATGAAAAAAATTGTAATTTATAGTACTATTATATAATTTTTGAATATTAATTTTCTCTTTGCTTAAAATATTAAATTAATGTAATTAAAAATGAACAGAGATGGTTTGTAATTATATAATGTTTTAATTGTTTATTTCACGATAGGTAGGTCGTATCAATTTTTCGACAGCTTACTAACTTTAATCATAAAAAAGTTATCTATCCTAATTAATGTTTCAGATCTTACACTTGGCTTTGTGAGCTTTCTTATTTGCGATGCCCCCACTAATCAAATGCTTTATAGGAATTATTATAATAAATAAAAAATATGAAACATAGAGATGTTTATGTACAAGAAGTGTTTATAATTTTTTTTCTCAAGATTAATATTTAAATTTAAAATAATCAATTTTAATTTCTGATATGTTCATTCATTTTGTCTGAATATCAAAATTCTCTAACCAAAAAAATATGAATAATAATTTATAATTATAATTATTATAATAAATAAATAAATAAATATGAAACATAGAGATGTATATGTACAAGAAGTGTTTATAATTTCTTTTTCTTTGTAGATTAATATTTAAATTTAAAAGAAAAAAAGAAAAAATAGGAGAAATGGTTATAATAATTATATGAGATGTATTACAGCAGTAAAAAGGATACGTGTCTTAAAGAAAATATATATTTCTTTACAAAATAACAAATGGAGTGGTGTAGGCTCCTCCTTTTTAGGCTGTTAGCAGTAGTGTATGTTATTGTTTTCACTTTTTTTGGCTTTTAGCAAAGACTTTTCCTCTTTTATATATATATATATACCTGCACAAGTTATGTCATTTTATATTTGGTTTATCATGACCCTATAAAATTGATCTAAACTCTGGAATAGGCTTTGATCAAACACTACTATTGGTATGTTACTTTTCAAAACTATAGTAATCTGTTGATTCTTTCACATTTTTCATCACATTTTATTTGTACATCATGCTATTTTTTTCTTTCTCTATAAGGGTTAAAATTTGGGTTGTGTTATTCTGTTTCCACCTCTTCATGATTTATCGAAACTTGAGATTTTTAATATCGTCATCATATGTTCATTTACTATCTGCTGATGATCTAATTTGAAACTCTTGAACTGAATTTTTCCAAGACAAGTTTAAAGGTAAATATTAAAGATATTTCATAAATTTTTTGTCCAGATTGATTAATCCTTTAACATTAATGTCACCATTATGAATCCATTTCTTTATAAATAATGATCCTTTAGTCTTATACATATAAAATATTTTGAGTTGTATCTTATGGCTTACCAAGATTTTCTTAATCTTGGATGAGGGTGGTCATTTTTACACCTATTGAGCTTTGTTCAACTTTGTTTGGTCATATTGTCACTTTGCTTTCTTGACTGTTTTTGCAATCTTTCACTATAAACATAATATTAATCTTTAACTAAGATCTCATTTCATACATTTGTAATTGATGCTTTACATGCCAAACATTTGACTTTCTTATTTTCTTTCACTAATTCTCTATTCTATTCCAATACGACAAAATGTAGTGTTTGTGCTATTCTGATTGACATTATCTTGCTAAATGATCTATTTATGAGAGAGTTTAAAAAAATAACATACTTCTGTTCATATTGGTGTTATTATATAAAATGTCTTATGTCAATCGTGAAATAGGGCTTCAAAGATGAGGCTTAGTTGAAGCTTAATGTTGCCACATTTTTTCCATTTTGTCTTGTATAAGTTATGTGATGTGATTATGTGCTAACAGGTGATTTTTTATCAAAGATGATCCAGAAGATCCAAGCATGAAAGATGTATCTGTTTTTGTCTAATTCTATACAGTATGTAAATGTATATAATTAGTATTCCCACATATGAAAATGTTAAACTAAGTAAGTATCTCACTTCGACATTCAGTAGTATGACATTCACATGAAAATATATTATGAACAAATTTGGCAGCTATAATGTGTTCGAATTACTAATTTTTCTCATTGAAATATTAATTTTGTTTGTTTAATATGCAACTAATTAAATTTAGGTCCATTATAAATACCTATAATGCTCCCAACTACAGCATCATCAGCTGAAAGCATGTCTGCAAGCCTAGAGCAATATTATGCATACAAATTTAGCAACTCCTAAATGTTAATTGCTAATTTGTTAACTTTCAGCTACTCTTGATGTTCACTTTCTTCATACTGTCAATTTGCTTAGTAAACAGTGCATTTGTTTTGTGAACAAAATGTTATTTAACCATGTAATGTTGTGAAGTATGCTAATAGTTCAATACAAAATAGTCATCTAATATTGTGAAGTATGCTAATAGTCCAATACAAAGCAGCCAAGCAGAGCTGATACCTGCACTTTGATATATATTGTTCTTAATTCAAAGACAAAATTATCATTTTTATATCCTATTGTTTCAAATCAAAATGTACAAGGAAAGTGACCACAATGTTTTATGGCTAACATGTATTCGTATGTATGAAAGTAATTCCCAATTGAAGTTTTATTATTGAAGGGAATTTTCACCGTGCTTAAGAAATCTTGGTGAAATATTTTGTCTTGATACCGTAATTAAATCAAACAAAAATAAAAGACAAGACTTGACCAATAATGTATTATAAAATAAAACATATATCGTAAAATAAATGCATAAAATATTAAAATATTAAATGTTGGGCCCGTGCTTAGCACGGGCAACACTTATCTAGTATATATATATATATATATATTCACTAGATAAATGATGTAGTATGCAAATTTATTTGATTGAGCGTGAAATTTTTATTTATTTATATAAATGCAATTGTGTATTCTTTAGCTAAAATTTACAACTTAATTCCCGCACGTTGTTCCTATTTGACCTTCGCATGACAAGAAAATATTGAAAATACATGCAATAACTTCATCCTTATATAATTTGACTTAGTTTGTGGCAACAAAATAACATAGCCACTTTCAAAAAATAAAATAAAATGGTTGACTTAGTTAAGAATATTTTAGAAAGAGACTAAAGAAACAATAATACAACTATCATGATGGTACATGAATCCTTGAACATGGTGTGTGGAGCCGAAGTAAAGAGGTAATGGCACTTATTGCTTAGTGATAAGACATGATATATAGTAATATAAATCCAAAGTGCTAAGAAAAGAGGTCGAGTTAAAATTTAAAATTTCAGTTATTTTAAATTAATATTTTTAATAATATTTTATGAATTTTTTCTGTCAAATATTAAAGTAAAAGTTATTAGACTCGTTCGAACTTTTAAATTTTGATCAATCGATTTACGTCTATATTCTGAAATGAGAAGTTTACTATATAAAGACAATGTGAAATATAGAATGAAGTAACCTCATTAAATTCATTTTTTTTAAAAAAAAGGAACACACAATTTGGAAAATTTTCAAAGAAATTTGAGCAAATACTTAAAAACTATTCAATTATATAAAACATTTTTCCTTTTTAAGTATGGTTAAAGAAGTGTATTATTTTTTTAATAATAAGAAATAACTAATCAATATTAAAATTTCCTTTTTTAATTAAAATAATTTAATATTTTACAAATATCTAAAATTATTTTTATCATAAATTTTAAAACTTATTTTTAAAAACTTCATATCAAAATCATAGGTGTCATGTAAAGTTGTGGTACATGAGATAGATGGGATCCATTGTATGTTTTGAAGTTATTTTTCCGACACTACTTTATGAAGGCATTGTGATATGGATTCACTAGATTAATCAAAGTTTTAATTATTTTGTTTATTAGTGGGATTGAATATATGATTATTATTTTTTTGTTTTGTATCTTTATCACCAAACCACAAACACAATATAGTTTATGTGGATATCCTTTTTTAATAGACTTTTAGCACTTTAACTTTGCCTTGAAAAAAACAATTAGAGATTAAACATTTCTTATTTCTTTTTCTTGTATATTGGCAAAGTTGGTATTTTAAAATATCTCTTAATTCAAGAAAAGCAAAGTGTAGGCACTGCTTGGTTTTTAATGTAACAGCGCAATTTACTAGTGATATTGTCAGCTCTAAAATTAAAATTCGTGCGACTTTAAAACGTGTCTCTAGTGAATTAAATCTGTTTATTCATATACTCAACATTTCTCCCGTGCTTTAGGACTTGTTATGTTAATTTGGGGTGTAACATTTAAATAAGGGGTGCTTTGACATTTTCTTGAATTTAACAATTTTCTCTCGTGATTTGTTTTTATATTGTTGCATTTCTTATGAATCAGTTCAAGTTTGAATCCAATAGAATTTGTTCCAGCCTTATACAAAGAAATTTATTAAGTATCTGTATATCTTATTATGATGTTGATATATTAACTTGAGATCTGTTAAAAGTCATAAATTACAAAAAGAGATTAATAATTTTATTAAATCAGTGGATTTTGACTATATACATTGTAGATGACAATTGAATCCTAATCTATTGTATTCTATAGTAGACAAGTCGAGAGTTATATTGATAAGTTATAACAAAAAATAAAAGACAAATGAACTTGTGGTTGTCTCACTTTAAAGTGAATAACATATTTTCTTATTTGATGAATGTTTAATTATACTATCAATATTTTACTTAATATTTTACTTATGTTGGTCTCACTTATAAAGATATATTAAAAGTTTATTTTATTTTAATGACAGTTTTTGAAATCTTGCAAATTCTTTTCATATATTTTTAAAGTATCTAGTCAAACTGCTTTGATAAATTGAGAGTTGAGACGAAAAAGTATTGTTAGTGCAGAAATTCATCTTTACATGTTCAGTATTGATTTGACATACTCCTTGACAAACATTAAATGAAACGCAATATTACTATACCACAAGTAAAAATAAATAGACGAAATATTATTATTACTTATTTTCTATAATGAGTTGGCCGGGAAATGGAAATAGATTAAATAGTGGGAAAAAAACAAATATTGATTTGTAAATAATATATTTCGATGTTATATATTTGCAAATAATGTTAAGCATATTCAAACGGCTATAAGCTAAGACAATTTCAATGGGAAACAACAATATTTGAGGTTGTCTTATCCTTTTCGTCTCCATTTTTATCTCTAATATTCACAATTCTCTTGTCTCTTTGTATTTGGAACCGCAGGGCAGATTACGAGTTCCACTGAATTCACTAGCTTTAGTTCAAACAATATATCATCCTTCAAATTTATCTTAATATGTACAAATTATTAATTTAAACGTCAATAACTTAAAATGACCAGAATTCAGAACCTATAAACTTAAAATTCCGACTCTACGCTAAAATACAAGGTATCTAGATTTCAGCAAACATATAGATTCCCTTGTTGTCTTATCAGTTATAAGTATATGTTTGTTTAATAAAGTCATAAACATTTCTGATACCAAAAATTAAAAAAAAAATGGAGACCCTCAACAACATAATTATAGCAACAATTTTTGTTACAATTTTGTTGGTACATACATGGAAAGTGTTGAATTGGGCATGGTTTAGGCCAAAGAAATTAGAGAAGTTTTTTAGACAACAAGGCTTATGTGGAAATTCTTATAGGCTACTCCATGGAGATTTGAAAGAGTTCTCTAAGAGCATCAAGGAAGCACAATCAAAGCCTATTAATAATCTTTCAAATGACATAGCTCCAAGAATCATTCCTTATTTTATTCAAACTATTAGTAAATATGGTAAGTCTTCTAAAATTAGAAGCGTGTTCAGAATTTAAACTTTATGAGTTCAGATGATGTCGAATCTATGCCTATTTTGATTTTTTTGTGTTCAAGATTTAATGTGTATATGTATTTAGTTGATTTCTTTTACACGTATATAGGGTTTGAGCCAAAATTATAGTGTTAGGATTAACCCATGGCTTATACCACACTCTCCCAATTTTATGTGTCATATATACTTTTCCTTTTTAATTTGCGTCGAAAAAGAATGTCATACTTCTTTATTTAGAGATAATTTTAACTTCAAGTTTTCTGCCTTATGCTTAACGAGATTGATTTGTAGCCACACAAACGTGTACTATGACTTATTTTAGACCACAAGTTCTAAAATTCTTTCTTTTTTTCTTTCTCAAACTTAGTGTCCAATCAACTAGGGACGGAGCTAGTAAGGGTTTGGAAAATTACACTATTTATATATGGTTAAAATTATTTTTAGGGAAAATACACAAGTACTCCCTCAACCTATGCCCGAAATCTCAGAGACACACATATACTATACTAAGGTCCTATTACCCCCTAATCTATGCCCAACGACTGTTCACATTTTTTCAAGCTAGTGTCATGTAGGCCAAAAAGGGGTCGAAATTATTTATAAAATAAGGTCAGGGGGCAATAAGATCTTATTATAATATAAGTGTGTCTCTGAAATTTCAAGCATATGTTGGAGGATACTTATGCATTTTTCGTTATTTTTATATATACATAGTAAATGTTGAACTCCCTTGACCCTTTTACTTCTTCATATTTTAAACTTTTTAATAAAATTCCTAGTTTTAAGTTGTCAATAGAAGCTTTTATAGACTCAATAATATTGTGTTTATATGCAGGGAAAAATTGTTTTGTATGGTTTGGGCCAAAACCAATGATACTAATAATGGAAAGTGAACAAATTAGAGAGATATTTGCTAAGAATTATGTTTATCAAAAGCCTCACCACAGTAATCCAGTTGCCAATTTGTTGGCTAGAGGCATAGCAAACTATGAAGAAGATAAATGGGCAAAACATAGAAAGATCTTAAAGCCAGCTTTCCATATGGAGAAGTTGAAGGTTCTACTCTACCTAATTATTTGTCTACACACACATTTTTTTTTTTGTAATAACTGATCCGACTGAGTATTTACTTCAAATCAACGAATGTCAGACACGTGTCTTTTGTATACACATTTTTTTTTGGTAATAACTGACGTGACTGAGTATTTACATCAAATCAATGAATGTCAGACATACGTCTTGTGTACATTCATGATATGAAACCCGCGTGTTTAAAACTCCCTTAAATGCTCTTAAACCACAAACACCACTTGCAACCAGGGGCGGATGCAACACTTGGATAAAAGATTCATCTGAACTCAATATTTTTCACTCAAAACATAGATATCTAGGTAAAAAGAATAGTAAAATTTCAGCAAATTTTATATTTGAACTTGTAATGAATCGATAGAATTAAAATCTTGAATCCGCTTATATATATAACTAATGAGATGCATTTTTTCTTTTGTTTTGCAAGTAGCTTATGTTGCCTGCTTTTTACTTGAGCTGTATTGAGATGCTAAAAGAATGGGAACAAATTATCCCATATGAAGGATCAAAAGAGTTGGATATTTGGCCTCAATTTCAAAAATTAACAAGTGATATGATTTCGCGTACGGCATTTGGTAGTAGCTATGAAGAAGGAAGAAGAATATTTGAACTTCAAAAAGAACAAGCTGAGATTATTATGAAACAGTTCAATTCCATTTATATCCCAGGATCAAGGTACGTAATTACGACTAAAGTTATGGTTCTACATTATTCATACTCGTTTAGAGTTATCTACATCGAGCACCAATCCAACTATTATTAATAGAGGTGACAAATGAGCGGGTTGAAGTAAGGTCTGGGTGTGCTCTACCCTCCTAAGCATCACTTTGTGGGGTGTCAATCGGTATGTTGTTGTTGTATGGTCCAACTTGTTTACACTTGGAAGAGTTGCTAATTGATAGATTGTTCTTTGTGGTGGATGTAAGTTGTGAGGTTAAACTCATAAAGTTTAAATTCTGAATCGACCTCTGCTTGGTTTTGCACCACTAGACTTGCTATTATGTTTTATTTTCGTTTTATCAACTTCTAAATCCTTTAACATGTAGATTTTTGCCCACCAAAAGCAACAAGAAAATGAAAGAAACTGAAAAAGAAGTTCAAGAATCGATAAGGCGTCTAATTGACAACAGATTGAAGGCAAAAGAAGCAGGGCAGGAATTTGGTGATGACTTATTAGGTACATTACTAGAATCAAATTCCAACGAAATCGAAGAACAAGGAAGCAAAGAATTTGGATTAACTATCGATGAAGTAATTCGAGAATGCAAATTATTTTATTTTGCTGGACAAGAAACCACTTCAGTGTGGCTTGTTTGGACTATGATTTTGTTATCTAGACATCAAAATTGGCAGGCAAAAGCTAGAGAGGAAGTTTTGCAAGCCTTTGGAAGTGATCAACCAGCTTTTGATGAATTAAGTCGGTTGAAAATCGTAAGTTCTTTCAACACTACTCATACGTTGGTGAATGACATATTTAGGACGGGTTCTGTAAGTTCAATTGATGAACTAACTCATCTCTTTTACATATATGAGGAAAATTTGATATGCGTATGTATTATGTGATCACTCTCAATTTACGAACTGAGTGTGATCACATAATAAAAATTGATATGCATACATATTATGTGTGATCACTCTGAGCTCGGATTAACTGACTCTAGATCCTGGATTTACTCGTAGTGGTTAATATCTTAGAAACTAAATTGACGATGGTGAAGCCAGATATAAGTAATTCACATATATTTTTCAGGTAACGATGATTTTGTACGAGTCCTTAAGACTATATCCACCACTAGCAACTCGTATCAGGAGGACTAATGAAGAAACTAAATTAGGAAATATGTATCTACCAAATGGATCGTTGCTATTCATACCAACAATCTTATTGCATCACGACAAAGAAATATGGGGCGAAGATGCAGAGGAGTTCAAGCCAGAGAGATTCAGTGAAGGCGTTTTAAACGCGACAAAGGGCCAAATGACGTTTTTTCCATTTGGAGCAGGACCAAGAATATGCATTGGACAAAACTTCGCCATGTTAGAAGCAAAAATGGCTATAGCTTTGATTCTACAACGGTTCGAGTTTGAGCTCTCTCCATCTTATATACATGTTCCACATTGTATTGTAGCTTTGCAGCCTAAGTATGGTGCTCCTTTACTTCTGCAGAAGCTCTAGTTTTTGGTGACAAATGAACTCGGACCGTTGTTTTATAAGAAGACGAATTTTATAGGTTCAATTGAACATTTTACTATTTGTATATAGTTGAACAAGTAGACATACACGTCTTACATGACAATTGATCACATGAGATATACTCGGATGGATTAGTATTATGAAAATCTCTTATAAAAAAATATAAAATTATAAATTATAAATTACAAAGATAATTTGAGTGTGGATGAGGGCATGCGGCAAGGTAGGATAAAATTATGATTTTGTTTTGACTAAATAAACTTGCATAATCTTTAGTATAAGTTTTATATTCTTTTATATTATATATGGCAGAGGAGATGGGAAAAAATTCCAGCAACAAAATCAAAGTTTAAATAACTAGTCAATTGCTCCTAAAATTTCTTCCTTTTCCCGGTCTAATATTTAATATTCATATCGATGCGGTGATTAATCTCAATTTACCTCGTGTAAATATAATTTTTAAGAAAAAACAAATTTTCTCATCAAAATTTTATACAAAAACACTTTTATCACGATATAACTAAGGGTGTGAAAGCTCGAATTGATCAATAATTTAGATTGAAAAAAGTGTTATTCATTTATTGTAATTAGTTAATTGTCATTAGGTTAATGGTTATTTAATAGTTTTATAAAAATTTTTTATTGAATTATTCGTTTGTTATTGATCTTTTGATATTGAGTTATTGAATTAACCGATAACCCATTAAGAATAAAATTATTTATTTTAATTTTTAGTCATGCATGAATATCAAAAGAAAAATATTAATATATAATTACTATATTACACTATAATTCTTAAAAAAAATCCTATCTCGCCTCTGCATTTACCTTTTAGGTTTTAGTATTACTTTAGTCTTTTTATTGTTGTAATTAGTCTGATTTTCTTGTATTGTGTCAAATTATTGAACAAGTCATATATTTGTTACGAAAATATTTTCTTAGTGATGAAACGAAAAATCAAATCGTAAAGATCAAAATTCGATAAAACTGATAATAAATATCTTATTAATTTAATAATTAATTTAACATATCAGTAAATTAAACGGATAATACTTAAAACTAAATCGAATCGATCGATACAGCTCAGTCGACTAAAGACTTGGTTTGTTTCGCCAGGCCCCACTCAATTTATTATAAATTTATAATAGCAAAGAACTACTCCTTTGACTCTAATCATTTTTATATTATATAGTGTAGTTAATAAAGAGAAAGCAAGTGAGAGAACCCCTTTCAATGGAGTTTTTATCATTTATGAGATCAATGGAGATTTCTTACAACATAATTATAACAACAATTTGTGTTGTAATTTTGTTGTTCTATACATGGAAAGTGTTGAATTGGGCATGGTTTGGACCAAAAAAATTGGAAAATTGCTTAAGGCAAAGAGGTCTAAAAGGAAATCCATATAAGTTACTCTATGGAGATTTGAATGAATTGACAAAAAGTATAGTTGAAGCTAAATCTAAGCCAATCAATTTCTCTGATGATATAGCTCAAAGACTCATCCCTTTTTTCCTCAACTCCATCAACAAAAATGGTATGTCTCTCTTCGTCTTGCTTCGTTTCAATTTATCTGATGTTATTTGATTTAACACTTTGTTTCAAAACGAATTTTTGAAATTTGTATGTATATGTGACTATAAATATAATTTTTTTTGTAACTCACCAAAAAAAAAGTGAGCTATATTGATTAGGTGGGTAGTGTTTCTCTTTCTAGACTATAATCGAAAGTTTGGAGACACTTTACTAAATTAAGACTTTTTTTAGCCATCCTATATATATTTTAATTTTTTATAATTTTATACGCCTTTCAGCTTACCTGACATTTAAACATCTCTAACGCGTCATAACTGCGTTGAATTACATAGTATAGCACATAAGGAAAAAGGTGTGCAGACTAACAAATGAATTCAAGAAAGTAATAAGACTTTACTTTAGTTAATGTGTATCAATAAATTCCGATCAGACCGTATAAGATACTTATGCCTTTTTTTTTCTAGTTTACTTTTGTTCTTTTATGTGGTCCTGATTTTAGGTCAATTATTTTTTCTCTTTTTTTCAAGTATAGTGAAAAAAAATTATCTTCACAATTATGTAAATATATATATATATATATATATATATCAGATTGATATTAATCAAGACTTTGTGAAGATATGGTATACTGAGATGAGATTGTGTCACACACAGTTGTAAACATATATTGTAATTATCAATGAGGTGTCATTATCCATGTGTTAGTTAGAATTTTAACTTTAGTTTAATTCATTAGAACTCTTAAAGTTGTTCACGTAAATCACTTACACATCTCAACCCAACAATTTTATATCTATTGAACATTTCTATGGCTTAAAATTGAGACTTGTTTGATATTTTTTTGAGAATCGACTAAAAGTATATGATATATGTAATACACTTGTAGTGACATGACAAGGCGACAAATTAAATGATGACATATGACATTTTAGTCAAAAATTTGTCAGGAAAGTAAATAATTAGAAAAATTATTTTGAATTAATTTGTGAAATGCCTGTTACCTGTTTGTGAAAATGCCTGAATAAACTGTTTGAATTAGTTTTGAAAGGCCTATTACCTGTTTGTTAAAATGTCTGAATGAACTGTTTGATCAAGTTTTGAAATGCTTATTTCCTGTTTACTTTCATTAGTGATTTTGTTGTCGAATATATGCCTAATCGAGTTTATTGCTTTGTTTTACAGTTACTTCCTCATGATTTTATTATTGGGGAAAAAGACAAATATATTCTCGAACTATTGTAAATGTTATGCAGATATCCTCTGTCATATTTTGGAGACATTGCATATATGCCTTTTACTCTGACGAAAGACTAAACAGGAACACATGGTGCAATCTTATCTGTCGATTCAATATTTAATAAATGTTGGATCGGTGAATAAGATTATGACACGTGAATGTCAGTTAGTATAAAAGGTATGTATGCTCTAATTTTTTGACGACATGGGTACCAATGTCCCAAAAGTATGACGGAGGATATGTGGGTATATATCATTTACGCGAATTTGGGGGTATTCTTTGTCATATAAGAAGATAGTCTAGTTAAAATGTTCTTCTCTGTTTCTTTCATTTGTTTCTTCGTCTATTGAGCTAGCATTACTCGCAGGTAAAAGTTCTTTCATCTGGCTAGGCCCCTATCCAATCGTGTTGATCACGAAACCTGAACATGTAAAGGAGATTTTCACAAAGAATTATGTGTATCTAAAGCAAACTCATCCCAATCCATTCACCAAGTTATTGGCTAAAGGTCTTGTTAGCCTTGAGGAGGACAAATGGGCCAAACACAGAAAGATCATCAATCCTACCTTCCATGTCGAGAAGCTAAAGGTTAATACTTCTTTTTTTTTGTTTTTGTTGAAGTTTTCCGTTAATAACAAACACTGCTGGTTCTCTCATTTGTTTTGTACAGCATATGCTGCCAGCATTTTACGTGTGTTGTAGTGAAATGATAAGCAAATGGGAGGAGATTGTTCCAAAGGGAACATCAACCGAGATCGATGTATGGCCAGACCTTGAAAAGATGACCAGTGAAGTCATTTCTCGCACAGCATTTGGGAGTAGCTATGAAGAAGGAAGAATAGTATTTGAACTTCAGAAGGAACAAGCTGAGCATGTAATGGAAGTAGCACGTTCAATTTACATACCTGGATCTAGGTACGATAATTTATTTATCATATATCGACAATTACCTTTCTTTGTCGTTACATAAGTACAATACAACAGAAGTTGTACTCTGCCTTTCTGCTAAATGACTGTTATATAGGTTCTTACCTACAAAAAGAAACAAAAGAATGCTGGAAATTGAAAAGGAAATTCAAACAACAATTAGGCGTATCATTGACAAGAGATTGAGGGCAATGGAAGGAGGGGAGACTAGTAAAGATGACTTACTAGGCATATTACTTGAATCCAATATGAAAGAAATTGAACAACACGGAAGCAAAGATTTCGGAATGACAACAGTTGAAGTGATTGAAGAGTGCAAGTTATTCTATTTTGCTGGACAAGAGACCACTTCAGTGTTGCTCGTATGGACAATGATTTTGTTGTGCCTACATCCCGAGTGGCAAGTACGTGCCAGAGAGGAGGTGTTGCAGGTATTTGGAAATGATAAACCAGATTTGGAAGGACTAGGTCGCTTGAAAATAGTAAGTACTGTCCACAAGTTCTTTTCAATAGTATGTTTTGTGTCCTCAATATAATGGTACTTGTTAGCCAAGAAATACTTGTAAGTTTGTTAAATCTTTTAGCAAAGCACCCCTAACTCTTCTGCCAACTTACGCGATCCTTTCTTCACAGGTGACCATGATCTTGTATGAGACGCTAAGGCTATTCCCCCCATTACCAACATTTGGTAGAACGAATAAAGAAGAAGTGAAATTGGGGGAATTAAATCTACCAGCTGGAGTGATACTCATAGTACCCGCAATCTTAGTACATTATGATAAGGAAATATGGGGTGAAGACGCAAAGGAATTCAAACCAGAAAGATTTAGTGAAGGAGTGTCAAAGGCAACCAAAGGACAATTCTCGTTTATCCCATTTGGAGGAGGGCCGCGAATTTGCATTGGACAAAACTTTGCAATGATGGAAGCAAAAATGGCATTAGCAATGATACTACAAAGGTTCTCCTTCGAACTCTCTCCATCATATACACATGCTCCATTTGCAGTAGTGACTATTCATCCTCAGTATGGTGCTCCTCTGCTTATGCGCAAACTCTAAGATGATATTTTACACCATTCGTGTTGTATTGTCGATACTAATTTGTCACATGATGTCTGAAGTCATGCTTTGAATTTAAACGTTTAACGTTAAATTGCAGCTTGGTTATCATTATCAAAATTTATTGGTCATCTCTGATGAACTTCATATTGCCTCTTGGTGGAGCAAAAGTTTCTTCTTCTTAAAGTTGTGTAGCATATACTTTTTCTATTGCACCTCTATGTTCATTTTGGTTTGTCCATATGTAGGAATCAACCAAAACAACTACTGCTAAGTTTCTAAAGTGTTCTGTACTTTATTGTTTTGTTTTGCCTGTATATACTTACTCTTCATTTGTGTCTTAACCTCTATATACCATGAAACACACTTTATATTTAACTTGGTGTCAATTAAAATTTGACACTCCCAATTTTCAGGATGCATATCTAGATACCATTATAATTTATGTATCACGTTAGTGTCGAGTGTCCACAAGACGCACGAAAAATGAGTTGAGGTGTCTAAATGTGCACTTTTAAAATTAAAATATTTAGTTGTCAGTTAAGATCAAGATAGTTTTGTGTATATATAAGTTCTTTTTATTTTCTTGGGGCCACAACCTTATTATTCATTTTGGATCTCTAAACTATTATTAAGATATTTTCATGGAATCTAAGAGAGGTCACAAATCACAATCACACAACTACTTCTGTTTTATTTTGTTTTTATATTGAAAAAGGTTGAACAATAATAATAACAAAGATAGGATGGAAAGTAGGACAAAAAAATAAAATAAAATAAAGACATAAATGGGATGATGTAAGGTAGGGTTTGTCTTGTTGGTTGGACAGGACCAGAGAGACAGAACAAAATTATGAAAAAAGAAATACTTACTAAACAGGCATAGCAGGATGTGTAATTGTTTAAATTAATTTTTTAATCAATATTTACTATTTATATTGGATCTTCTATGATTCATTCAAGGGGAAATGTCCTCTAGAAAATTTTCTTATGTAACTTTGAGATCTCAAATTAAGGACATAAAATTCTTATTCATCCATTAAATTCTTGGTAATGAATGGATTAAATTAAGGTTTTATTTTGGCATGATTTGAAATCAGATAGAATTGGTTTCATTAGTTGTATGTTTTTATTAATAAAAAATCTCACGAATTATAATATATATAAAGAAAAAACAAATCAACTCTTATGCGATCTTATTAATGAGAAAATTGTGATTCCTAAACAAGATATCGAAATATACTAATGCACCATATTAATAAATCACGTATCACTATATTTGTTTTATAACTAAATATATGTGCAATTACATATTTTTAAATTCACATATCTTTATCAAGATCCACTTATCAACAATAGCAACATTTTTTTTAGAGTACAAACAATCCTTGTACTTGAACATGATTTTTTTTTTTGCAAAATGTTAAATAATAATAAAAATTAGTGATAAGACATAAATATGTTAAATTATAATCAAAATTTCAAAGACACGTAGTAACTAAACTAAGATCTTACTATTTCAATTTTCTTTTTGTAATTTTATACATTTTTTTTTATTTACGTGACATCCAATTATATCACACGTCCTACCTAAAATCACAGAATGTGTAATATTTAAAGATAATAAGATATTAATTTAGTTAATATGTGTTGAGATTTTGATCATAGTATAAATGTATTAGTGTATCTCTAAAAATTACATAAAATATTAACTTATGAATCAAATATTTACATTTTAAAATTATCAAGAAAGATTCATTTGACTTGTGATAATTTTTGTATAGCAAGTAAGATGAAGAGCTGAGAGAAGCTTTGTGACTTTGTGAAAATGGAGATGTTGAGCAAAATAATAGCAACAATATGTGTTGCAATTTTATTAATTTGTACATGGAAAGTGTTGAATTGGGCATGGTTTAGACCAAAGAAATTGGAGAAATACTTTATACAAAATGGTCTAAAAGGAAAACCATATAAGTTACTCTATGGAGATTTGAATGAACTCACAAAAAGTATAGTTGAAGCTAAATCTAAGCCTATCAATTTCTCTGATGATATAGCTCAAAGACTCATCCCCTTTTTCCTTGACTCCATCAACAAAAATGGTAAGTTTCTTAGTTACAAAGATTTTGTGTAATGCGTACCAAGTGTTTGGTAAAATGCCTGAATGAACTTTTGATGAAGTTGTGAAATGTTTATTCCTTATTTTTTTTTTATAATTGTGGTATTCAGATCAGTTTTCGTACACCTCCACTAGTTTGTCCACTGAAGTTAGGTCAGATAGGAAGAATCATGTAGTGTTGTTGTCTCTGTTAGGATTGAACCTGAGATCTCATGACTTTCAATTATTTACTTCATTAATGTTGAGAATGTAATCGAATAATTATGTTTTTAGATGAGATGCTCACACGCTTTAACAATCAAACACTAGGCTAAATCATTGGGCGCGTGAAATGCCTTTTCCTTCTTTGTGAATTTCATCAGTGATTTTGTTGTTTTTGTGGAAAAAACAATAAATCATAGCGATAACTAAGAGATACTTGCAGGTAAAAGTTCTTTTATGTGGCTAGGCCCATATCCAGTTATATTGATCACAGATCCTGAACATGTAAAGGAGATTTTCACTAAGAATTATGTGTATCTAAAGCAAACTCATCCCAATCCAATGACCAAGTTATTGGCTCAGGGTCTAGCAAACATCGAGGGAGACAAATGGGCCAAACATAGAAAAATCATCAATCCCGTCTTCCACGTCGAGAAGTTAAAGGTTCTACTTTATTACTCCATTATTTTCAACGTGATTTCGTCATTACTGTATTGCTTTTTCAAACCAGTTTTGAATTGTTATACTTGACCTTTCTACCTGTACTAGGTAGGGTTAAGGTCTATGCACACACCACCCTTTTCAGATCTCACTTGTGAACTTATACTGGATATGTTATTGTTATTGTAGTTTGATCAGGCACGAGTGATGTTTAAGAAAATAAGGGAGTCTTTAGAATCTTGTTGTCTTAAACTAAAGATGTGTACAATGTAGCAAAGTATGTTTTGAATCTTGTGGTCTAAATATTCCGTGTGGGATATTGGAGTTAAAAAGAATTACTAGATATAGAAAGTGACGTTCTTTTTTAAAGAGACTTAGAAGGGAAGTGAGACAACTAATTGAATCAAAGAGAGAACCATATTTAGATAAAACAGTAAATTTTATATGCCTTTGGCTTAGTATTGCTTATTTAGCTGCATTAATTAACATTAAGAAGTTATCAATTGATAACAAGTACTTGCTGGTTTTTTGATATACAGCATATGCTGCCGGCATTTTATATGAGTTGTAGTGAAATGCTAAGCAAATGGGAGGAAATTGTTCCAACGGGAACATCATTCGAACTCGATGTTTGGCCAGACCTTCAAATAATGACTAGTGAAGTCATATCTCGTACAGCATTTGGGAGTAGCTATGAAGAAGGAAGAACGGTATTCGAACTTCAGAAAGAACAAGCTGAGTATGTAATCGAAAAAGGACAATCAATTTATATACCAGGATCAAGGTACAACAATTTATGTACATCACATTTCCACGTTCAAAACTTTCTTTTGTGCTTGCAAAATCTCTGTGTAATTAAATATGAAAAAACTTCTTAACAATTATTCTACTAATAGACTTTTCTGTTTGAATAAATTTGTTTATACAGGTTCTTGCCTACTAAAAGGAACAAAAGAATGCTGGAAATCGAAAAGGAAATTCAAACCACAATTAGGTGTATCATTGACAAAAGATTGAGGGCAATGGAAGCAGGGGACACCAGTAAAGATGACCTATTGGGCATATTACTCGAATCCAATTTGAAAGAAATCGAACTTCATGGTAAAAAAGATTTTGGAATGACTATATCAGACGTGGTAGACGAGTGCAAACTATTTTATTTTGCTGGACAAGAGACAACTTCAGTGTTACTCGTTTGGACAATGATTTTACTGTGCTTACATCCAGAATGGCAAGTACGTGCCAGAGAGGAGGTGTTGCAGATCTTTGGAAATAATAAACCAGATTTGGAAGGCCTAAATCGCTTAAAAATTGTAAGTACTTTTCACACAAGTTCTTTTCTTCCAATCTTTGAATGATTACGTTTTGTGTCCTCAATATAATGATTCTACAGGACTGTCGAAGTTGACAAGAAGTGAACTAAGACCCCGATTGGCTTAGCTAATTGAGGGTAGTTGATAAACATAAAGGGTTGAAAACCATTTTTATGTGTTGAAATTGATTTTACAAATAGACATTTATGTGATGGGACCGAAGCATACACAACTAACATGTTTGGTAAAAAAGTGTGCATAAGAATTTGTGTTAAAATGACTAAATGTTCTGAAAGCTATTCACAAAAGATATAAATGGGAAAGTATATTTACAAGGGGAAGGACGGACAACGGAAAGGAATGGAGAGGGAGTTAGTCGTGTTGTTTTGAGAAGATATTTACTGGATTTCGAAATACAGTAGGGATAAAGTAGTACTTAAGAAACTTTGGTCAGATCAAAAGTGCTTTAAAAGTTATAAGCAGAAATTTAAAAATTTAAGTTGAGGCTAATAAACTACTTTCGGTTAATTTTGGGTTAAAAGCAATTTGGTCAAAGCTTTACCCAAACACTCTCATTCTACTGTCAACTTATGCAATACTCTTCTCCTCAGGTAACGATGATTTTGTACGAGACGTTAAGGCTATTCCCTCCATTGCCAATATTTGGTAGAAGGACTGAAGAGGAAGTGAAATTGAGGGAGCTAAATCTACCAGCTGGAGTGCTACTTATTATACCCACAATCCTAGTACATTATGATAAGGAGATATGGGGTGAAGACGCGAAGGAATTCAAACCAGAGAGATTCAGCGAAGGAGTGTCAAAGGCAACGAAAGGCCAAGTTTCATTTATCCCATTTAGCTGGGGACCCCGTGTTTGCATCGGACAAAACTTTGCAATGATGGAAGCGAAAATGGCGTTAGCAATGATACTACAAAGGTTCTCCTTTGAACTCTCACCATCATATACACATGCTCCATTTGCAGTAGTAACTATTCATCCTCAGTATGGTGCTCCTCTGCTTATGCACAAACTCTAAGATGATATTTTACGTCATTGGTGTTGTATGATCGATACTAAATTGTCACATGATGCCTGAAGTCATGCTTCGAATTTAAACGTTAACGTTAAAATGCAGCTTGGTTACCATTATCA